TTATGGGAGTGGATCATGGACTAGTTTGCAAATTTGAGAAAAATAGAAAGGGGAAACAATGGATAATAAGGATGGATATGATAGGAAAAATGAGAGAGGCTGGAGTTAGGAGAAGGGACAAACTGGGGTTTTGATGGGGTTTTGTCTGTATGGTTGTTAAAAGTCGAACTTGGCTCAAGGACACTAAACTATGATCAAAGCCGAGGAATCTGAAAATTAAAATCTGCCAGATTCAGAGGTCATCAGTTTTTCTCCTTTCTTCATAATATTAAAAAAAGAGAGAGAAAGCAAGCTTATGGCTCCAAATCAGTGATGAGTTGTGTGGGAAAGCCACAACTTAGAATGGGGAAATGCACTATTATTTTGCAGGGATAAAATATCACACACACTGCTGAAATTCATCCATGTGTTTCCCGTGGTGCAGGGGCATGGTTGCTATAAGATTCACAAATCAGCTTTCAGCGGCAAGAAAATGACTGAGAATGAGCAAGAAAAGGAGCACCTGCTTGTCATCTGTGGGAAATTTCTAAAAAAAAAATGTATTCTGTTCCCAGGGTAATTTGTCTGACTAGTTCTAATAAAGCACGATAGCCTCAAGAAAAGATACATGGAATTCAAGCACAGTAGAATGTTCCCAAGTGAGCATGTCTTTTGGAGAAATTTATTCTGGTGGACATTCTTTCTCAGATAATATGTATTGATGCAATGGGGTTATACCAAGGGCATATTTGCATTACAGGAAATCCCTTTACTGTTTTGTGTCATTTTGGAACATAAGCATTATAGCATATTTTTCTTACATGTGCCAGTTCTTTACGTTTTAATACACATTTTCCCACTTATATACAGTACACACATTTTCATTGTGTTGGATTTCTCTTGGGATGAGACTGACCCAAGGGAGCAGTACAAAATTAGCTGCATAAAATAAGCACAAGGAGAAAAAGCTGAATGGTGAACAATATTTTCATGGGGCCAAATGTGAAGTTAGTATCATGGGATTTCAGGCCACATATATTTGTGTTAGAATGAAAGATGAAGCAATCCTTTCCAAACATATAAATGTTTAAATAAAAGTTGGTTCAAAAGTGGTTTCCCAGAGAAATTTATCAGAGAAGGAAAGATAAGAGTAGCAGGAATTGCAAGATCGCTATGTGTTTGTGATGGTTGATGGATGATAGTCATTTTTTAAAATCATGGGTGATAGGCTTTTTAAAGAAGAACCTTCTGAGACAGGACTATCTGCCCACCAAGGAAGAAGAAGGGAGCATGAAGAATGTGTTGTTTCAGCTGAGCCTTAATATAATTGATAAGATGTACCTATATTTTAATATGTTCCTAAATTCTTGATTGTCCTTTCTGCCTTCCTCTTTGATTTAATTGGCTGATTTCTCCTTCACAAGCTTGATGTCATGCCTTTTGTGTTCATAGTTTGTACAAGCACTTTACCTTAGCGGCAATTTGTAACAGATATATTATTCAAATAATAATATTCCATTATTTTGCAGTGTAAAAACAGTGTCGAATAGTAAGCTCAAATGAATGAGATTATAGTAATGCTTTGCATGATGGGAATTGTAATGCTGTCCTAATCTCACTATAGAAACCAATATTCCAAGGAGTCAAAAGTAACATGGATATCAAGCACTATCCCTCAGCCAACTATCAATTCTGTCTGTCCTTTGTATTTACAATAATGAAATCCATGAGAAAGTACATTTGAGATACTCTGTATCTGTGGTGGGTTTTAATTTATTTTACTACCGGTTTGCTCTTGTACATGTACACATTCGCATGCTTGTGTGACGCTTCTGCGCATGCGCAGAAGCAGCTGGGCAGCTGGGCAGAGCCTCCCGCTGCTGCCACTACCGGTTCACCCAATCTGGGTTGAACAAGCAGAAACCCACTTTTGCTCTGGATTAATAATGGAGTGGAATTTGGAACCTCTCTAATAATGCCAACATACAATTTTCAGCAGCCCAAATCAACCTGGACAATGATGNACATACATACATACATACATACATACATACATACATAAAAATATTACATCGCTGCCCATTTTGACAGTGGTCATAAACATGAACCAGTTGCAAAGCATCCAAAATTTGGTCATGTGACCATGTGCAACAGTCATGAGTCTGCAAAAAAGTCATTAGGCCCCCTTTCCCAGTGCCACTGCAACTTCGAACGGCCACTAAACAAACTGCTGCAAGTCGAGGACTGCCTGTACAAAAAGCGGGGAGGGGAGGCGCGAGTTCAATACACAATATCTGCTCCCCACCCCGGTGCCTGGCGCCCCTCCCGAGGCTCTTTTCCCTCTGGGTCGGAGAACACAAGACCAGCTTCCGTCAGCAGTTTCCTCCTGTAGGAAAGGGGGCGGGGAGGGGTGGTCGTCGGGGACCTTATAAAGGAGGAAGGGGGGAGGCAGGAGGGAGGGAGGGAGGCTGTCGGAGCCTCGTCTCTGTAGGAAGAAGCCGCCTCGCTCGCTCTCTCGCCTCGGGTCCCAGGAAGCGGAGAGGGGGCCGGGACGTTCCGGTGAGAGCGGATTCCCGGGAATCGGTTACAGCTCCCGGATCGTTTACCGCTAGGAAGCGCGATCTCGCTTTTCCCGGGGGAGGAGAGGCGGCTGCAGGGAAGGGGAATCGGCAGCGGAGCGGCTGAGTGTCTGGAGGCTGGCCGGGCAGGAGAGGAGGGGAGCGGGCTAGAGGCGTGGCGGGGACAACCCGCTGGCCTTGCGTAGTAGGAGGTCGGGAGCAGCGCCGCTGAGCCCGGCGGGGAGGAGGAGAAGGAGGAGGCCGGGGCCGGAGCCAGGCGTGGAAGAGAGCCTCCCCGAGGAGCCGCCGGGCTCAGAGGCCGAGCGCTTCCGCCGCTTTGGGCTCCCGGGTGTCGGCGGGGCCCCGGTTGCTCTGCAGCCGCCTGCAGCAGCTTCGCCCTCGGCGAAGCCCCGGGACAAGGAGGAAGAAGAGCAGCCGAGCTCCCGGGGATGGAGGAAGGAGGGGGGATCCCGGAGCGGTTCCTAGCCGGACTGTCTCCGGAGATGGTGGGCTGACTGCTGCGGGAGGGCCGGGCGGAGAGCTGCCCCTACTTGGCGGCTGCCCTGGTCGGAGGCTTCTCGCTCAGCCCTCCTCGGGTCCAGGAACGAACGGAGGCAGATCGGCGGCAGGTGAGGGGAATCTCTCCTCCCTGGATGATCTCCCCGTGGCGTGGTTTCCTTTAACTAGTTGCCCACCTCAAATGCAGGTGATTAGCAATAGAAGAGACTTTGGTTTCCCTCCCCTTTCAGGCCCAGAGTTCTCTTTCTCCATCCAGTTTATTCCTTGGTAAGAAAGGAAATCCCAAGGGAATTCCCCTCTCCAACTATGGATATAACCATCTTTGGAGGCACAAACACAAGTTGCAACAATAGAAGAGACTTTGGTTTGCCTCCATTTTCAGTCCCACAATTCTCTTTTCCCCCAGTCCAGATTATCCCAGAGGAGGAAGAGGGAATCCCAAGGGAATTCACATCTCCAACTATGGATGTAAAACATGGTCCAGCTCTGGAGGCCCAAAAGAATCCTCTTGTTCCAATGTTAAATTCTTTTTAACTTTTGTTCTTCTTTAACCCTGGCTATGTTTTTGGCAGGGCAAGCTGATGAAGATGGCCACGGTGTCTCCTGAAGGCGGAGAAGTTCTCTCTGGTCTTTCTATGGAGCAGGTGATGGGCTTCTCTGAGGAGCATCCAACTCAGGTCTTGTTGCCTGGTAAGTGGAAACTTGCTTCTGCAGGACGTGAATCTTTAAGGCATTTCATTCTTGTGTTTCTTCTACACATCATTCTGCCTTTAATTTACACTGCTTCCCACCCAGCTTCCAAATATTCTTTATCCGTCTTCTTTTATCTTGATTATTACAGGGAACTCAAAATTGTGGATGGAAACGGCTGCAACATCTCCTCTGTCTGGTGGAGCCGCAACATTTCAGGTAAGGAGCCTTCATGAGAACAGGAAGTCCTTTAGGGCAGGGGTCACCAACCTTTCGGACCTCAGAGACCATTTAAAATTCATAATTTTAAATCCCGTGGACCATTAATATGATTTTTTTTTAAAGGTAAACAGTATTTAGTGCGGTATTAAAAAGTTTGTATCGTGAGACTCTACACAAAGCTTATTAAGCCAAGTGTCAAGATTTTGCTTGATTCTGCTTTCAAGGTGATGGTTTAAGCTACAGAAGAGGCAGCCCTCCAAGGTAGACCAAATTTTAAACCAAAGATACAGAAGGTATAATACCACTTTCTTTGTGAGTAAAACTAATTCTTAAATTAGTTTTTAACAGAGCCTTGCAAGTCTGAGTGCACCTACCCCCCCCCTCCCTTTTTCTTGGAATCATTTGAGCTTTTAAGTTTCTTGTACCTGTAATGGTGTTGGAAGAAATATCCATCTGGTTCAGTTCCACGCCGGGAGAAAGACACTGGAAACATGGCAGCTAATTGGAATGATGGTTTAATGGTGAAGCAGACCCACCAAGCACATGGTTCTGGACAGCTGACCACATGGAGTTGGGAGTGACAGGTTTTTATACCTTCTCTTGGGCTTTGCACTTGAACTTCCTCTTCCTGTGCAAGAACATGTAGTCTGTTGGCTGTTGTCAGACTCCCATGGTGCCATGTTCAAATCATAGGAGTTTGTCTGAGCTAAGCTTGGTTGAAGTTTGGCTGACACAATGAAGGGACTTGTTGGGCAATTCCTCTGGTGGCTGAGGGCTAATCCTACCTTTGTTTAAACCTTACTGCAGGGAATTTTTGCCTGTGAATAGAGCTAGCTATCTCTTTATCTCTCAAGTGCTGAATTTACACTTAAGAGATCAGCTGAGGTCCATCAAGAAATGTTGGGGCTGCATTCTGTCTCCAAGAGCATGTTTCTCTTATTTCTCATCCGGGGAAATATAACATTCTGCCTTTTTAATATTTCTCAAAAGATTTCATTCTTCTAGGAGAGGGGTGGATGCTAACTTTCCACAATGGGTTACATTAATTTTTTTAAAGATAAATCCTTTGCTATCCAAAGTATGTGGAAAACCCCAGCAATCAGCTTGCAAGAAATAAAGACAGTTTGGTCTAGTGGTTAAGGCACCGGCTAGAAAGCAGGAGGCGGTGAGTTCTTGTCCTGCTTTAACCACGCACAGCAGCTGGGTAGCTTTGCACCAGTGACACTAAGTCCATTAACTTCATAGGGTTGTTGTGGGGATCAATAGAAAGAGGAAGGTGTGTTGTAAAAACAATAAAGGCAGGTTACAAATAAATAAAAGCCAGGAATTAGTTTTAACATTACATTTTATGGAAGTATTAGTATGACAACTCGGAAAAAAACGTTTGGTTTGGTTTGGTTTAATTTTATTTGTATGCCGCCCTTTTCCCTGAAGGGACTCAGGGCGGCTCACAACTCAAAA